CCACCAAAATGCTATAACGTCCACCTTGTTTGCTAACTTGGTGACAAATGAATGCCTTCTAAGACCACCAAAATGCTATAACGTCCACCTTGTTTGCTAACTTGGTGACAAATGAATGCCTTCTAAGACCACCAAAATGCTATAACGTCCACCTTGTTTGCTAACTTGGTGTCAAATGAATGCCTTCTAAGACCACCAAAATGTTATAACGTCCACCTTGTTTGCCAACTTGGTGTCCCACTAGTTTCTGCAAAACGCTTACAACTAGTTTTGATTTGTGTAAATATTTTCCCAGCAGTTTCGATCTTTTCGAATGTAAATAAAATGCCAAGACATTGTCTATACTAGAAACGATAATATTTCATTATTTTAGTCCAATTCTTTAAAGCTTTGAAACCTTATTAAATGGATATTAACCTTAAAAGTAAAGGTTTTGCTTTCTAGAAATAAAAAAAACAACAACAAAAATCGTTCATTTTAAAGTAAAATAAGTGACCATCTTAACCGAAGTATGATACATTAACTCCAATAAGACAAGAATACGTGTATTATGAGTGGTAAATAAACTCCAATTTTATCATCTCTCAACAGCCCAACTAGGCCGATAAATTGACAGAATTAAAATCGTTTTTTAAACTGGAATTAATTCAGCTATTGAAATTTGTTGTCTAAAAACCACACAAAATCTATTTCTATAGTTATCAACTGAGTTTTGTTAGATAATGTAAACTGATATGTTCCTCATCGTGATAACATCTATAAAAACCCCTTTCTCCAATCATCAACTGAGTATTTTTAGTTAATATGAACTAATATATTTGTTCCTCATCGTGATAACATCTATAAAAACCCCTTTCTCCAATCATCAACTGAGTATTTTTAGTTAATATTAATTAATATGTTCGTTCCTCATCGTGATAACATCTATAAAAACCCCTTTCTCCAATCATCAACTGAGTATTTTTAGTTAATGTTAATTAATATGTTTGTTCCTCATCGTGATGACATCTATAAAAACCCTTTCTCCAGTTATCAACTGAGTATTTTTAGGTAATATGAACTAATATGTTTGTTCTTCATCGTGATGACATCTATAAAAATCCCTTTCACCAGTTATCAACTGAGTATTTTTAGTTAATGTTAATTAATATGTTTGTTCCTCATCGTGATGACATCTATAAAAACCCCTTTCTCCAGTTATCAACTGAGTATTTTTAGTTAATGTTAATTAATATGTTTGTTCCTCATCGTGATGACATCTATAAAAAAACTTTCTCCAGTCATCAACTGAGTATTTTTAGGTAATATGAACTAATATGTTTGTTCTTCATCGTGATGACATCTATAAAAATCCCTTTCACCAGTTATCAACTGAGTATTTTTAGTTAATGTTAATTAATATGTTTGTTCCTCATCGTGATGACATCTATAAAAACCCTTTCTCCAGTTAT